TAATTTAATTTGACCAGAGAGAGAGAGAGAGAGAGAAAGTCAGAAAGCAAGCTGCCAGCTGCCAGATCCGGGACTTGAACTGCAGTCAGTCATGTAAGAGTCTAGCACCTTAACCACTATGCCACCTGCTGGTCCCAACTCCTATATTTGATACTCCTTTTATTTATAATATTTGCTGTTTAATTTATCTGTAAGTCCAGTCTGGAAATAGAAACCTTGCTTAAGTTTTTGGTATTTCTTACCCTTAGAGTAATAACTTACATATCATACATAAATATTTGCTTCTACTAGTGCAATTCCTATATAATAGGTAGAAAAACTGTATAGAAATTATGAAAACGATTTTGCACTAGGACACATTCTATAATTTGGGAGACTGGGAATTTCTAATATCAAGCATCAAGATCTAAGGGCCTTAGGTAGTAACCATAAAATGAATTCTTATAAGACTCTACTGAAAATTATTTTGAACTGATATTGAAAATTTAACATTGAGCATGAAATCTATATGGCATTTCTTTAAGTATTACAAAATCAGGTTATTCAATCTTCTTTCAAGAACTCCAAGGGGTACTTTAATCAGGCAGGGGGAAAAGAAATCAAGTATGTGGATCTCATTATGTTAAATTAAGTTGTTTTGTGGTATATGACTTGAGATACCCTCTGCATCTGACAGTAATTTTCCTCATAAAGCTAAATTCAGTAAGAACAATAGTCCTTGTTTTCGACAATGAGTATAAACCTTACAAGTATTTTGTTAATGTACTTCTGTAATGTCTTATTCAAGCAGATTTAAATCATTTTCATACTTAACACACTAATTTTGGTAAGTGGCAGACTTGCTTTGAAAAATATGTAAATCAGGTAAGTCTCAATTTTCCCCTGTTAGGATAGTTCTGCAAAGTCTTACAGTATGACTAGTATTTTTATTTGTCAAGTGGGAAAGAATCTAGCTATTTAATATTATTTTCTTTTTTCTTTTCTTTTCTTTTTTTTTTTTTTTTTTTTTTTTTTTTAGAGGGTTTTTTTTTTTTTTTGGGTCCGTTGTTTTTTGCTATAGGGCACGTGAGCTTGCCAGAGAGACAGAAAGTGAGAAATCATACCCCAGGGGGAATGGCCATGCTAATCCCTTCTTCTCCATTCTCCTCTCGAGATCTTGGGCACGCATGCACACACACGTGCCAGGCGTGAGTTTAAGCCATCGGGTCCAGGACTCGAACTGTGGTCTCCTACATGGGAGTCCAGCAACATAGCCATTATGCCACCTGCTGGTTCCCTCAAATCTATTTCCAAAGAAATGATCTTGGCAGCCTTTGGCAATTAACGTGTTTTTTTGAAAAGATTATGAAATGTCAATTAATTTGCATTATTGTAAAGCAGTCTTTTGGGCATGCACACATATATGCTGGATCTGGGACTGCAACTGTGGTCAAGTATGTGGGAGTCTGGAGACATAACCATTACACCATCTACTGGTCCCACTATTTAATGTTATTAATTGATACTATTTGAGAGTTATTTCAGAAAAAATGTTTTTAGTGTGAATATATTCCAAATATTACCTAGTTATGCCTGTATTGTTATTCAAATTTAATTGGACTTTCTTTATTTCTATTTGGTAAACCTGAAAAACCTGTGCTTGGCCCTATGTTCATGTGATTTTCTTTAGAGTTTTTTTCTTTCATAAAACATCAGCTTTTTGAGATATAATTCACATACTAGAAAACTCAATCTAAGCATACACTCCTCATTTCTTATTTCCACAGTTCCCCTTTATGCTTGGGAGCTGAGTAGAAGTATGAAACCAAGGGCAAGCTAACTACTTTCTCTACATTTCAAGTTTCTCATCTGTAAAATGGAGTCAATATTTATTTCATAGGGTTTATTGAACACCTATCAGAAAAACATGTACAATGCTTAGCAAAGCATCTGGCAAAGTAAAAAACAAAGAGTCAATCATTGAAATGAGTTATCATTGACTCTTGTTTAATATAGAATAAGAGGGATTGGATTTACCCTCTGGTCTGAAATAAGGAACCCATAAATAGTGGTTTTCTAGACACTGTACATTAGGCATGGATGGGTGGTGATTACCACTCCACTAGAAAGAAGTAACAGGCTCCAAACAAATCTGAAACCCACGAGGGTAGACACTGAATCTTTTTTTTTTTTAAGAGACATTTTTATTATAGGGCACATGCGCTTTCTAGAGAGTCAGAGTAACAGAAAGCAAGAAATCACCCTACAAGGAGATGGTCATGCTGCAATCCCTTCTCCTCCATTCTCCTCTTGGGATCTTGGGCATGCATGCACATGCGCCCAGAGTGTTTTAAGTTCCATGTCCGGGACTTGAACCACAGTCAACTATGTGAAAGTCCAGCGATGTAACCAATACACCATCTGCTGGTCCCCAGACATTGAATCT